GGAATTTGGAAATGTAGCCGTGAAGGTGGGGAGAGAAAGTCTAGAGATGGCCCAATGGTCGTCATCACTGAGCAGCAGCTGAAGCCCTAGACTCAGGTTTCTTTTTCTTTTTCTTTTTTATTTCATTTATTTATTTATTTTAAGTTTATCGAGCTAGACTCTGAGTTTTCTGAAAGGAATAGTGGACCAGATGAGTAGGGTGCTAAGCCTTGGAGAATGCCTGGAGTAGCAAAGAAGACAAAGGAGGAAATACTAAGAAGGGAGATTTAAAGAGAGAGACAGTTTGAAGCATTGGCTACACCAAAAGGGCAAGAAGGTTGAGGACCAAGAAAAGCAGATTAAATCTGCCTCACTGCAAAATGCCTTTGTTGAACCTTACCTAATCACCAACATGCCACCACAGATGGGAGTCCGGTAGTGGCTAGAGCTAAGCTTTGCATTGGCTGGTTACTGGCATGTCATTGGAACTCACTAAACCTAGTCTTATCTGTGAACTGGGACTACCTCTCCCACTGGGTCACGTGAGATCCATTAGATAAGAAACAAATGGTGAAAGTAAGCGGATGAAGAAATCAGAGGCAGCGTCTCTCAAAGCATGTTACTAATGATTGTTGAGTACAGGGTTTGAATAAATTGGAGGAAAAAGAAGTCTGAATCCAACAGGTTAAGTGAATGCTGAAGACATATATACAGTGCAGCTTTTTCTGTTCAGAGTTTTGGCAGACAGTTGGGCCACTGCTACTGACAGGCAATTCGGATTCTGGGAGATGACTGTATCTTAACTTCTGATTTCAGGTCCGACTGCAGACGCAGCCCCCGAGTTTGCCCGGCCAGCCTCCCATGTATTCTGGGACCTTTGACTGTTTCCGAAAGACTCTTTTTAGAGAGGTATGGTATCCCGGTGCTGGGCATTCCTCTGACTCAGAGGAACACGTTCACAGGTTGGTTTGTTACTCCCTGAAGGGGGCAGGGTGGCTGTGTGTAGTTTTGTTGGAGGTCTGGCCCACAGCGGCGGCTCACTCGCTGTGCCACCACCCTGTGCCCTCCTATTATGATTACTCTGGAGTCTTTGCTAGTTCCAGCTACTGTTTTCTACAGATGACTGAAGCTAGTAAAATGATTCTCTCTTTTGGAAGGCAAGAATTTAGACCACAGGGGATTAATGAATAATTGGAGACTCAAAATGGAAGAAAATGCAAATCTGGATTAATCAGTTTGACAGGAATCGGTGGCAGAAGTTCACAAAAGTCTGAAGGAAAAGACAGCCATCTGAGAAACAGTGAGAGAGGCCCGCAGAGTCTTCAGACTCCTAGACAAGGACACTAAATTGGTTTGAAGTTACTGGATCACAGAATAATTTTCATAGATTTCTTAGAGTGAAAACATGGGATTTTTAAAAAGTTTTAATTACTAGTGACATTACTCACTTCATTAGCACAGGTGTAAAAAACTCTACTGAGAACTTTTTTTCTTCCTTTGCTTCCTAAAATATAGGTCTTGTGAATAAACACTATTAAATATACAGTCTTTCTTAAATACATGGAGTACCTATTTAGCAGCTGGGCAGTGTGCTGGGTGCTGGGGGCCTGGTGAGAATGGCTTGTGTAAATCCAACTCCCTGCAGAGTCGACTAGGCTTCCTTAGTCCATATTTGTGGGTGTCCCTGGTTTTTACTGTGCCAGTCTTAGCTGTCTGCTCTCTGGAGCTGCCACACAGAGATCTTGGTTGTGCTGCATGGACCTGGGTGGGCCAGCACCCTGGAAGGAGGGCTAGAAGAGTTGTCAGGAGGCGTGGACTTGGCCCCTTAGGACATGAGCCTTCTTCTCAACCAGGTGGCGAGCCATTGGGGGAGCTTCAGAAGGACTTTTTCCCTTGTAGATCCTCCTCAGAACCTTCTCTGCCTTGTTTACTTTGTCCTGTTGGCTGCCTCTGCACTTTGTTTTTGGGGAGTCTGCTTATAGCCTATAGCAATGTTTGACCTTTGCACCGTCCAGGAGAGCTGACAAGTAGAGTTCCAGAAAGTGGCTTGGTTGTGAATGCCCAAGGCATGCACGAGGCCGGTTCTTTGGGCTGGGTCTGGACCGTCCTGGTGTGCTGCCCCACTCTGTAAGGAGCGACTCTCACATTTTTTGTGTTTGTTTTTTAAATTATTCCTTATTTTGTATTAAAGTGATATAAACTTGTTACAGAAAGGCTTGTAACAAGGTAACAAATTGATCCCCCTCCATTCTCCAGGACAACTACTTCCAGCTTTCAGTTGTTCATGCTGTTTCTAAGGAACTACACAGTATACATTCACTACTGTATTTTATACATCTTTAGATGTTTTAGCTCTCTATTCATGGTAAAGGATTTTAACTCTTACATAACCTATCCCCTCTTTCTGCTCTGCCCATATAATTTTATCACACCTTGTGATTTAATCCAATTCACTGTTTTTATGATTACCATTTCATATATGTTTCTTTCTGATAACTAATGTACTGTGATGTGCATTCATTTCTTGGGCAACTTTTTGTTTCTCTTGAGGTTAGGTTAATAATTATGCCAATCTCCATTGCTTATGTTTCTTTGAATCACTGCCTCTGTCACCCTGTACTCTAAATGCTCTGTGGAATACCTTTCTGTTTGGTTTCCCACACTGCCTAAACAGTAATGATCTGTTCTTGCAATGTGTGTTATTTTGCTTTGTTTTTCTTGGAAACATGCCTCCTAGAGCCTGCCTGTCACGGGACAAGTGACCAGGTTCATATCAATGTCACGAGAAAGAATTCACAGACAGACAGTAAAGGCGATAAAGCAATAGCTCAAATTTATTGGAAGCAAAAATACACTCTTAAAAGCAAAAGTACACTCTCAGACTGGAGAGCGAGCAAGCTCAGAGGGAGCTGCCCTGCCTTATTGTGGGTTTTGGGGTTTTATCTATTGATCTAATTAAGGGGTGGACTATTCATGATCTGGGGTGGTCTCTTCATAAAAAGAAAGCGATATGGAAAACACCCCTTTTCTTGCCATATTTGGGTTTTTCGGAACTGTCATGGCATCAGATGCATGATGGGTACAGCGTTAACTGCAATGCTAATTTATTATAATAGCTGTATAATGAGAGAAGAATTAGGCCAAAGGTGAACAGAGTCTGACCTGTGCATGTGTCTTTGTGGAAAGACCACCTGTGTCTCCGAGTCAGGATGTTGTGGGCTTTGGGCTCCTTTAAGGGCTTATCAGGGCTCATGGCGACCACATCTGTGCCCTTGTGGGTTTCTCATCCTCCTGCTCATATCTGTCTATCTGCCTACTGCGACACTCCCTCCTCGTACTCCCATGTAGACTGGCTTCTTCCCAGGCCCACGGCACCCTATACCGTCCTGGAAATCCCTTTCGTCTTTCTTGGGATGAACTTTTGCTCTCCTGGGTCCCAGACTTTCCTCTCCCTTGGTTTACTAACCTTGTTTGGTTGGGATATCTCTTTGTCTTACTGTCTACTTACTGCTAGTACATAGTTGCTCTCATTACCCAAATGTACTCGTGAAAATTGATGTGCAGTCTTACTATTGTTTTTAACAATAAAAATCCCATGTCTTAATACTTGGAAAACACATAAATTTCTTAATCACCTGTAATCTCGCCCCAAGGAAGCCAGGTCACATTGTACATCCTGTTTTGTAGCCTCCTTTTTTGTTTTCACTTAGTAGTGTCTTTTCATGTTACATTGGGATTTTATGACTGTGCGATAGTCCATTTACTGAGTTACCATAATTTGTTTCATTTATCTTGTATTTGGATTCCAAAATCGTGTACCTGATAAATGCGTGATGTCGTTTTAAAAAATATCTCTGAGTATTTTCTTAGAATAAATTTCTAGACAGAGAATTGTGCTGCGCAATTCTCTTCCAGATTTTCTTCCAGAATAGAAGCTGTTTTCCATTTTCTTCAGCAGTATGTAAGAGGACAATTTCTGATAAATGTTGGGGGTTTCTACCTTTTCACAGCCCTCCTTGCTTGGCAGAGTTGAAGGAAGGAAGCCTCAGGGGAGTGGACACACTGCTTCTCTTTTTCAGCGCTGTAAAAGTTGGTGGTGTAAAGCTTCTGCTTCTGTGATTCCTTACAGGGCATCACGGGGCTATATCGGGGCATGGCTGCCCCCATCATTGGGGTCACCCCCATGTTCGCTGTGTGCTTCTTTGGGTTTGGTTTGGGGAAGAAACTGCAACAGAAACACCCAGAAGATGTGCTCAGGTGAGTACTTACAGGCCTGGAGCATTCGATGCTGCCCTGCCGGGTGGCCGTCCTCCTGGGCCCGGAGGCTGGCACCTGGGAGCTCCACATGAGGGAGCTACTCGAGTTTCTTTTGCCTTGTGAACCAAAAGGGAAAAAGCTCCCTTCTCCCCCCTCCCCTTACCAGGCTTTCGTAACTTTTTTCTGTGAGGCTACCGGTATTGCTAATGGGGACATCAGTATTACCAGCCCTGCAGGGGTTTGGGAGGTCTGAATGATAAAATGTGTGTCACGTGCTGAGAGCAGTACCTGGTGCTGCAGTAGTGACAGCAGCAGCCTTGTTTTCCATTACCTGGTTGGGAAAAAGGAGGCTCTCGCTTTGTTTTACTTTATAACGTGATTATAATTATTTCAGATATTGGTTTCTCTGTTAAAGTGAAATAAATTAGTGTATTTCCTTCAAGTTTTATAAACTTTAAGAAGTTGGATTTGGGTATGAAGAGGCAGATGAGTCAGAATTATAGCTCAGAATCGACAAAATAGTAAATGAAAACAGACTTCTTGGGATGCAGAAGAACTCTGAGTAGAAACATGTGATGTCAAGGTACTCTGTCTGAGCTGTGTAAGGTGACAACTCCTGAGAGGGGCTGCAGGCAGCACAGGACACACATAGGCTGGTCAGGCTTGAGATCCAGGAACTCAGGCGAGGAAGCCCAGGGGGCCACGCAGTTGTTTTCTGTCACTACTTCAGGCTACAGCAGGCTGAGCAAGGGTCTGGGATGTACACAGAGATGCTTATAATGCAACACTCTATTTCTGGACTCCTATGACCCTCTGAATGTGCCCAGCTTCTATGAACAGACACAGATGGTCCCAAAGGTGGGTGTGTGTAGGGTCCTTTGAAGCTGTGTTTGACAGTTGGTGATCCAAATGTCCCATGGACACATGTCCTCCCTGAGCATCTGGTCCTTTAGCTCATGTGCCAGCTCACAGGTATACCAAGGCTATGCACCAGAACCCCCAGTGGAGTCGCTGCTAGTACTTTGGCCTGTGGGTTGTGTTGCCCGTACGATCACATCAGCACTCAGAAACACTCTTCCTGCTTGAGCAAAGGTTGAGATGCTCAGGACCCCACCACCATAATCCTGCCACGTTTAGAATCCTGAATATCAGCCCTGCCGTGTTTCCCATCCCTTCAGTGGTGTTTGGGGATAGTATGGAAAGGAGTAGTATCAGGGCTTTGGGATGGCAGCCAAGGAAGGACCAGCACTCATAGATGCTTCCCTGGGGTGGGGTAGGGAGTGGCAGAATGGGCCAGGCAGTCAGAGAGTGTATCTACATGGTATCCTGTGTACACACAGAGACCCCATTCACAGGAAAGTCCCCAGTCCCAGGAGATGGAGATATCCCCAGCCTGGGGTCTGCACGTCCTGAGAAGAATGGAGCGTGTTGGTTTTATATTGGGGGAAGTTTGTTTGCTGAGAGAGTCTCTTCTTTGTGACAGCAGTGTGAACTGGAGCTGTGAAGGAGACCATGAATGAAAGCAAGTCTCTTGACTGTTCACCAGTCAGCCTGTGTGCTGGGCTTGCATGCCTGATGTAGATATATGAGCCCTGGCTGGGGCGAGTGCATGGACAAAACTGGACCATTGAGGCTCGCACCCCACCTAGAGGGAAGGACCCTGAGTGGACGTCTCCCTACCCCGATTTGACATCTGTTTTCCAGGTCTTGGGCTCCTTGTTGGGTGGGACCAGCCTCAAGGCTCAGCTGGCAGAGGCTTGGGGTCAGGAGAGGCTTCTAAGTGAAGTTTTTCAGCAACATTTGCTTAATTGTGGGGACTCTGGTAAATGCAGATTGTAGCTTTGTGCTCCATTGCCTCTAGATCATCCTGGTATTGCTAATCCCAGAAAGAAAAGGCGATGCCAACGGTGGCACAGACTGCTGTGGGCTATAGATGCTAGGAACCTCAGACTCCGCCAGATACTCAGTGTGGCTCAGTCTGTGGGGGCTAGGGTAAGGACCCAGATCTCTGGCCCCTGGGGGATCATTCCCTGCACAGAGACCCACAGAACCATCATGCCTGTCTGAGTACCATTCCTATTTGGCCCTTTCTCAGCATCTTATAGCACATTCTTTACAACTGGCCTGCCTGCCCTCAGCCAGTGGAGGTGGCCACAGCTATTCCCCCTGGCCTTGATGCTGTCCTGCTTGAATCTTGGCTTGAAATGTTCTCTGGCCCTTGATGATCCAGAGGAGGTGAGGTTGGAGAGTACCTGGGGTTGACAGAGATCCAGATCCTGGCTTAGTAGCTTTTTTCCATAACAACCCTGAATTTTATAGGTAGGGAATAAAGGCTCAGAGAGGCCTGGAAACTTATCCATAACCACATGGCAGGCCCAGGGGAGGAAGCCATGTCTCACTATAAAGCCCCTCCCGTGGGTGACAGCACCTGGGTGTGCAGGTGGGCCTCTTGCGGCTCTTGACACTGAGACCCCTGCCCTGAGAAGTTTGACATCAGAATATACCTGGCACTTGGCTTTTGCGCGAAATATGATTTATTTGTGGTATGCTTCTGCCCAAAATGCTTTTTTTTTTTTTTTTTTTTTTTTTACACAGCCATCCTCTCGT